AGCATGTTCTTCCATTTTGGTTTTCTAACTCCAGGTCATTGCACATTTCATTATAATATTTGACTTTGTCTTCTTAAGTTGACCTTTGAAATTTTCTATTCAGCTCTTTTACCTCCTCATCTCTTCCATTTGCCTTAGCATCTCTACACTGGAGAGCAACTTTCAATCTCTTTCATCTTTCATTTTCATCTTTTATTTCTTTCTTATCTTCTTTATGACCTTTAGCTTTCTTCCTGTATGATGTTCTTGATATCATCCTACAACTCTTCTGATCTACGATCATTGGTGTCCAATGCATCATATCTGTTTTTGAGTCCGGGGGGGATGGGTATGTTCAAGGTCCTATTTTGGCTGTTCATGGACCTGTTTTAATTTTCTTCAGCTTCAGCCTGAACTTGCTTCTGAGAAATTAATGGCCTTTGCACAGTCTGTCCCAGCCTTGTTTTGGCTGATGATATGGAGTTTTTCCAGCATCTGTTCCCACTGATGTAGTCAATTTGATTTTTGAGTGTTCCATTCCCAAATTGGATAGGTAATATTTATCAGCATTCATCACTTTTTTTGGCATTTTAACTATGTTTTATCTCAGGAAATTATTATTTGAGAGAGAAGAAAAGAGAATGTGGAACATTTCTGCCTATTAGCCTTTTGGGTCTGTCAATCCAATGTTTTTATTTTTTGTATTGAGATAATTTTATATTCATTGGAAGTTACAAAGGTAGTACAGAGAGGTCTCCTATACCCTTCATCCTGTTTACCCTAAAGGTTATCTTACATAGCTATGGAAAAGTATCACAAGCAGGAAATTGACACTGACACAATGTGTATGTATGGTTCTACATCATTTTACCACATAGGTAGATCTATGTAACAGAACTATTTCATCATCACATAGATTACCATTATGCTGCCTGTTTATAGTCACACCCAACCCCATTCCACCTCCATCTCATCTCTAATCCCTGGTCATCATTAATCTGTTCTCTAGATCTATAATTTTTTCAATTGGTTTTCCAGAATAGATGGAATCATACACTCTGGAACAATAAATAACATCAAGATAGATGGAGAAAAGATTGAGTTGTTAAAGACTTCATCTTGCTTAGATCAACTATCAACACTCATGGAAGCAGCAGTCAAGAAATCAAACAATGTATTACATTAGGCAAATCTGCTGTACAAGACCTCTTTAAAGTGTTCAAGAACAAAAATGTCAGTCCAAGGACTAAGGTGTGCCTAACCCAAGCCATGGTATTTTCAATAACCTTATATGCAAGTCAGAGTTGGACAATGAATAAGGAAGACTGCAGAAGACTTGATTCATTTGATTTATGGTGTTGGAGGAGAATATTAGAAGTACCTCGGGCTGCCAAAAGAACAAACCAATCTATGTTGGAAGAAGTGCAGCCAGAATGTCCCTTAGAAGTCAGATAGCCAGATTTTGTCTCTCATACTTTGGATATTCTATCGGAAGGGACCAGTTCCTGGAGCAGAGCATCATGCTTAGTAAAATGAAGAGTCAACAAAAAAGAGGAAGACCCCAATAAAATGGATAGGCACAGTGACAGCAGCAATAGGTTCATGCAAAGCAATGATGGTGAGGTTGGTGCAGGACTGGGCACCATCTGTTGTATGTAAGGTTGCTATGAGTCTGTACCATCTTGATATTTCACAGTATAGATGCACCATAGTTTAATTCTTCACCTTTTGTAGGACATGTTGTTTTCTGTTAGGAGTGATTACAAATAAAGTTTCTTTGAAGAATTGTGTAGAGATTTTCACCAGAGAACGTGAAGACAAAGAGAAGCAGAAAAAGAGAAACTGGAGACTTGTACTGGAGCCAACTGACAGAGCAAGAGAGCTGAGTGCCTTCAGGCAGGAAGCTACCTGAGAGACCTGACCACCTTTGCACTAAGCCTTACTGGAAGAATAGAGTATCTCCAGGTACATGTTGGTAGACCTAAGAGCTCCATAAGTTTGCCAGTAAAAGCAGAGGCTGGGCCAGCCCTAGAGGCCAGAGAGGTCAAGGAAGTGACAGGCCTAGGAACCAAGAACTATAGCTAGAGATTCAAAAAGCACAGAAATCAGAGCTACCTTATTCTCAAAGGGTCAGGTCACAACTTCTGGAATCTCAAAGGTGGGGCCATGGTCTCTGGGGTCTCAATGGGTAGGACCATAACCTCCTAGGTCTCAAAGAGTCAGATCTTCGCAATACAATTCTGGAGTATGCGGATGTCATTCACAAATGCCAAACACCTAACAACAACAAATGATGAGAGATAACAATCTGTTTGTTAAAGCCATATATTTGTGGTATTTCTGTCATAGTAGCCCTAGATAACTAAGACAATAACCATGCCCATCATTTACATATTTCTAAAGCTAATTTCACATTACAGCTGCAGAGCTGAGCAGTCACCAAAGAGACTAAATTCTCTACAAACCTTAAGATTTACTATCTCTTGTTAAAATCCTCAAATCGTTTCTAGTCACAACAAAATAAAAATTCCTTGGCCAGTCTATGTCTTCATACTTGTCTCCTAACTCCTCTTCCATTTAGCTCATTGTTCTAAAGTCACATATGCCAGTGATTTGTTCTCCAAATGCAATAAAAGCCTTCCTACCAGGAGTCCTGGTGTGGCACTGTGGGTTAATGCGCCAGACTGCAAAGCCGTTTGAACTGCAGGGTCGGCGGTTCAAGCTCACCAGCTGCTCCTTGGAAACCCTATACCGGGTCGCTATGGGTCAGAATCGACTTGATGGCACTTTACAATAACAACAACCACAGTGCCATTTCCCTGACTGTTCCTTGGGCATAACACTCTTTCCTTAGATATTTATGATTCCAATATGTGTCACCATTTTAGCCTTGGCTTTAAGGTCTGCTCCCCAAAGAACAGACCTCTGGTACTATATACTACATTTTCCTTCAGAGCATTTTTTCACAATTGTATATTATGTGCTTGTTTTTGTTTTGTTTCTCTTCATAATTATGTAATCTATCTTGAAGTGGGGCCCACAACAATATTTCTTCATTGCTTTAGCTCTAAAACTAATGCCTGGCACAGAAGAGGTGGTTAATAAATCTTACAGAATAGAAGAAGAAGAAGAAAAAAAATTGTGTACAGGTTTTATGTAGATATAAGTTTTCATTTATCAATGATAAACACCCAGAAGTAAGATTCCTGGGTCCTTTGGTAAATTGACAAAATGTATTCCAGAGTAGCTGTGTTGTTGTTGTTAAGTGCCATTGAGTTGACTCCAACTCATAGTGACCCTGTACAGGGCTTCCAATGAGTGGCCAGTAAATTTGAACTGCGGATTTGTGGCTCAAACTGACTTTGTCGTCCAGTGCTTATCCTACACCACCAAATCAGGACTCCTTTAAATAAACAAACTATTTTCCACATTAGCTGTTGCTGTTGTTATTGTTGTTAAGTGTTGTCAAGTCAGTTCCAACCCATAGTGACCCTGTATAGGGTTTCCCAAGGAGCGACTGGTAAGCTTGAACCACCAACCTTGCAGTTCAAACCAATCTTGTAGTCCAACATATTAACCCACAATACCACACCAGGATTCCAGAGGTTATTGTTGTTGGTAATTGCCGTTGAGTTGGTTCTGATACATAGTGATCCCATATAAGGTTTCTGAGGAGTGGCAGGTAACTTTTGAACAACCAACCTGTGGTTCAGTGCTTATCCTGCAGCTCCACACCTGAATCGTTATATAAAATCCCTGCTTCTGTTCATTTTTTTTTTTTCGCATGGAAGTCTACTTTATCTGCTATTAGTATATCAGGCAACTTCATCTTCCCGTGTCTAGTCTAATGCTCACCTTCTCTGCTCAGCTATGAGTATTGGAGGGCCAAAGCCTTTCACCAGCAATGAAGGAACAATAGGAGGCTCAATAACTCATAGTACAGAAAAGAGGAACACATTAGGTCAGTGACTGTTGTCCTGGGACAGGCCTGCCTGCAAACTTGGCCTTGACTAAAAAATCTGGGAATTCAAATAGTAAATAGTTCCTGTTGTTGTTGTTGTTGTTGTTATGTGCCGTGGAGTCGGTTCCGACTCATAGTGACCCTGTACAGGGTTTCTGAGGCTATAAATCTTTATGGGAACAGAAAGCCTCATCTTTCTCCCGTGGAAGAGCTGGTAGTTTCAAACTGCTGACCTTGCGGTTCACAGCCCGATTCGTAACCACTATGCTACCAGAGCACTAATATAAAATATTTTCTAAATTACAAGAATGGCAAATTGTCCCTGAACTGTTTGTACAAACAATGTGGTTTATACTGAGCATTTTCTTTCCTTCTGAGCATCTGGAATCTTGATATGGGCCAGGAAGAGGGTGCCTATATGACCAGCCTCCAATAAAAACCTTGAGTACTAAGTCTCTAATGAGTTTCACTGGTTAACAACACTTCATTCACATTGTGTGGTTCCACCAGGAGCAGACTCTTAGAAGCTTGCTCCTGGCTTCCTCTAGACTACACGTCATGCACCTTTTCCCTTTGCTGATTTTACTTGGTGCCTTTTTACTGTAATAAATATTAGCCATAAGAGTGAATGTTGTAAGTCCCCTAGTAAGTAACTAAATGTGCATTTGGTCTTGAAGACCCCCAATACTCACGAAGTACGTATTAGACAGTGTTGTGTATTCATGGAAAATAAATAGGAATTCCTTAAGTTTGGGCCAGAGGTCAGAGATATTCTGAAATCCAGAAAAGCCACAAATATGATGGGCTAAAGTTAAAAAAAAAAAAAAAAAATTATGGGGCTGTTCTGCTCAAATTTTTGCCATTAAAGACCAATGAATGTGTAAATATGTGAGCATTTGGTTTGTGTGCATATATGTGATGCATATGTGCATTTGTATGTGCATGGAAGCAATGTATAGAGACCCCAATGAGGGAGAGAAAGTCTTTTTAGATTGTCATAACAGAAAACACACAGCAAACTGCTGTAACATCGTAATTGAGGGTCTTTGCACTAGCTTGCTTAGCCTTCCAGACAGGAATTGTTCCAGAGTTGATAATACTGCATCCAGGGCACAGTGTATATCAAAAAATCACAAATGAAACTCTGTGGAAGGAGAAAGAGAACAGTCAGCTTTGGGGGAAATAGTTCTCAAAGGCAAGTAACAATGTTCTGCACCTGCAGGCCCTCCCCAAGGAAGAGGGGAGCCATTGCCGTGTCTACTCACTGATCATGTGGGTAGCTAGGCTGGAGTTGCGCATGTGTCACATTGTGGGGTCAGGAATGTCACCCTAGGCTTCACAGGCCCCACCACCTGAGGCCATGCAACAGGCACAACTGAAATCTGCGGCCTTATCAGAGCCCGGACCAGAAAACCAGTCAGACTGCAGCAGGGCAGTAACACCACCTCCAGTCCTCTTGCACCTACCTATACCACAGACATGGGTAGACCATCATGTCTGCCAACCCACGTGAGGGTGCCATCAAGAGGGACCGGGAAGATCAAGAATGGCAGGAGGAAGACACTGGATAGTCCTCAAAGACCTGAACAAGGTCTCCAAAAAAAGAGGAAAAACGACATCTACTGTAAGGGTGAGAGGAGATGGACTAGAAAGGCAAGGAGGGCAATACTAATCAGCCAGAGGAATCCAGGTTACTCAAGGGCCTCCTCATCCCTCGTCCCCAAACTCCAATTAAGGAGCTTGCCTGCCTTCCTGCCCCACCCCACTCCCATTGAGTACTCCCCTAGAGCTATGCCTTGTTCTGCTCCCAATCCATACTGTTAGGAAACTGTCCAGTCAGCCTTTTTCTTTTACCCTTGTTTGATTATGAGTTCCTTCTCAGATGATTCCCACCACATACCTTTTTTAGTTTTTTCTTGCTTTGAAAGGGGCAGGAATGGTTTTTCATGCTTTTCCTCTTGCATTTGGTCCTGCCAATCTTCACAGTTAACAAATACTCCACTCCCGTTGTTAACTACCAGGAAGCAACTCCACAGTTAGTATGAAACCAAGGTGTTGAGTCTCCAGAGAGAGTTAGAAAGAAGCCCAGCCCAGAGAGCCACAGTTCCTCCTCCCTTCCTAGCTGAAGAATGCAATTTCCTCCGCCCCTTCTAGTTGGAGAAATCACAAAGACAACCAACACCTTGGCCCCTCCCTACTCTTGTGTTCTGACTGGGTTTGCTGCTGTGGCCACAGATAGTTTCTCACCTGCTTCCCATCCAACCTCAGGACAAGGCAGGACAACCTGGGAGACAACCACAGACCACTCCCAAATCTGTACAAAGGCTCCTCATTATTCAAACAGTCGGAACCTTATACCTTTAGCTCTTCATACCCGATTCATTTCTTCTCTCTTGCCTCTCTGACAAACTTCATGGAAAGCAGTTTTAGCAGTGCAACTTAACACATGAGCTTTCACATTGAATTCGTTTGGGGTCTGGCTTCGCATTTACTAACTGCAAGTTACTTAGCCGTCTGTTTGTTCACTTACAGAGTACGGATAATCAATTTGTCTGATCAAGGGTTAAGTGAAAGCACACATACAAGTATTTAACAAGGTGTCTGCAACATTCTTCAAAGTCCATGAATATTAGTTATCAGGGGCCCTCTTTAGTCCTTTGAAGCAAGTATGGAGCTGGGATAGCAACAGAAGATAAGAGTTACGCATAAGTTTCAGCACATTAACCCACAGCGCCACACCAGGACTCCATCCTCCGTTTTCATAGTCTTTTAGAAAGCGTAGTGGTTATGAATCAGGCTGCGAGCCACAAGGTCAGCAGTTTGAAACTACCAGCTGTTCCACGGGAGAAAGATGAGGCTTTCTGCTCCTGTAAAGATTTATAGCCTCGGAAACCCTGTACAGGGTCACTATGAGTCGGAACCGACTCCACTGCACATAGGCACATAACAACAACAACAACATAGAAAATGGGAATAATGCATGAAGGAAGGGGATGTGATGAATATGTAAAGTATGGAGGTTGCATGCCAATGGCTATTTCTTTGGTTGTGCTTATCTTCTTTTATTTGTGTCTAAGTATAAGGATATGAGGACTAGAGGGGATAAAGAATGTGAAATATCTCTGTGGAGACAGACATCCGTAAGTGAAACACTTACAAATAGTTTCATAGTCATTGTTGCCTTTTGGAAACCACATTGGATTCCCTAAGTAACTTTGCAGATTCAAGGGTTCTGCACTTGAATAAAATGAGAAGTTCCTGAAAGTTTCCTGTGCCCTTGTCCAAGTGTCATTAGTAAAACCAAATGAGATAACCTAGGACTCTCTGGGATGGCAATAGAGGCAGACAGTGCTCACACCAACCGCAGGAGGAAGGTACCCACAGAAAACTTCAGGAATGAACATAGGGGAAGTAGGCTTGTGTGCAGTACAGAGACCCCCATCCCAGCATGAGTCCAAAGGACCTAGAGTATAACACTCCTAGGTATGTGTGCGCTCATCAAAGAGCAGTTGGCATCTTGTGGGGTTTGTACCAGGCTCTTCCATACTCAGTATATAATTTTACCTTCAGGACTATCTGTAAGTAAGAAGAAACTAAAACACTGATTATAAATTTAACTGGAATTCTATTGTGCAAAGTGCGCTCTTATTCATTATTAAACTTGATTGTTAAATGATAACAGAAAAATTTAACAAATATTTCCCCAAGCACAACTTTATGAGATGGCATCAAAAAGCTCGAGGGAAAGTGGGATTTAAAAATAATGGAATTTTTCCTTGAACTTTTCAAAGTCCCCTTAGATGTCAGCTTTGTGCTAAATACTTCATTCACTCTTGGTCACCGTATATTATAGATGTGGAAACTGCTGTCTACAGAGTATGAATGGCACTAGACTAAGGCAGGTGGGGAGTTTGTAGCTAAGCACAAACTGACTCTTACATGCCTCTGTGAGAGATCAGAATACATACAGTCATCCTGCAACAGGTAAAGGGTCTGGCCCAAGGTCTCCCAGCTACGAAGGGGAACCCTATTCTGTCTACTAATCAACCAGAATGACATCAAAAGTTTGCTCATAATCAACTATTTTATAATAAGCTGTTTGTGATCATGAATTGGTTTCACAAGACAGGTCTTAGGATTCTCAGATTTCTCCAGGGGAAGACTAAAAAGAACAAACCAGCTCCTACAAGTACTTTGGTAAATTGTTGTTGTTGTTGTTAAGTGCCATCGAGTCGGGTCCGACCCATAGCGACCCTGTACAGGGTTTCCGAGGGTGTAAATCTTTACGGGAGTAGAAAGCCTCATCTTTCTCCCGCGGAGCGGCTGGTAGTTTCAAACCGCTGACCTTACGGTTCGCAGCCCGATTCGTAACCACTACGCTACCAGAGCCACTGCTTTATAGCGCTGACAATGAGCAAAACCGCCATCTTGTGACAAAAGTGAGTAACTGTTTTGAGTCAGGGGCACTCTGAGAATGTCTACACATTATCTGCTTCCATTTGTCCCCACCCCTGCTGTTTCTACTATTCCAACTGCTTTTCTTTGTGCCTAAGGTCTTTTCTTTCTACTCAATTATTATTTCCTCTACTCTAGTTAATGAAACTATGATGGTATTGCCTCTGCTCTGCTAACTCAACCTCAGTGGTGCAGTTTGTGCTGGACTACAAGGAGCTCTGGTAGCATAGTGGTTAAGAATCGGGCTGTGAACCGCAAGGTCAGCAGTTCAAAACTACCAGCTGTTCCGTGGGAGAAAGATGAGGCTTTCTGCTCCCGTAAAGATTTACATCCTCGGAAACCCTGTACAGGGTCGCTATGAGTCGGAACCGAGTCCACAGCACATAACAACAACAACAAATTATACACTGGAATCCTGGCGTGGCATGGTAGGAGATGGATGAGTGAATGAGTGGGTGGATAGATGGGTGTGTGAGTTGATGGATGTGTGGGTAGGTAGACGGGTGGATGGATGAGTGAATAGATGAATGGATAGATGGGTGGGTGAGTGGTGAATGGATGGGTGGGTGGTAGGTGGATGGATGGAAGGAAGGAAGGAAGGGTAGCTGGATGGATGATTGGGTAGATAGATGCATGGATAGATGGGTAGGTGGATGGGTGGGTAGATGCCCCTCTTGCATTCTTTTGCATTATTACTCCATTAATAGTTAATTGTTGACTCATTTATTTCCTATAAACGATTAGAATAAATATTGTGTGGTGTAACTTACTAAAGTAGCTTATTGAACTCACTTTTGAGTGTTGTTGGTTGTTGTCAAGTCGATTCTGCTGCGTGGTGACCCACATGTGCAGTGTAGAAGTGCTCTACAGTGGACCAAGGCTGATATTTCAGAATTGTATTGTCAGGCTGGTCTCCCAAGGTGTCTCTGAGTGGGTTTGAAGTAACAACCTCTCAGCTAGCAGTGGCGTAGGGACTCATCACTGATCATAAACAATTTACAATGTCCTTACTGTGTTACTGTGTGCTGGGCTCAGTGCCCTGGATGACCAGGACACAACCCTGTCCCTAAAGAGTTCATAGTTCAGTGAGCTTCAATTTTCTGTTGTTTTTTTTCCACGTAAGGGGTCCCTTCCAGTTTTGGATTCTACAATTCTAAGATTCTATAATTTCATCATTCGAAAACTCTGTTATTCTAAGATCCTTCGATTCTGCGAGGTTCTTCATGAGCAGAGGACATCTGCCTTTATTTTGGAACCTCTATTGGACGAGCTATCTAAATACGGATCTTCTCAGTTCATTTATTTGTGAATGTGTATCAAGCATTGACGAAGAGGTCATCCCTCTGAAATTTGTAGATTCAGTTCAAGGTCAATTGAAGCTAACTGTATTAAAGCAAGATCTTATCTCTCTCCGTGAAATAGTAACCATTCTTTTTGAAAAAAAAGGATTAGGCCAAAATAGTTCACGTAAAGAAAAGAAGAGA